GGCTCCCCTTGCACGAGACGGCGCTGGACAGCGCCGGCCTCCCCTGCCCGAGAGGGCTCCGACCTCCGAGCCCGCGGTGTTGATTACGAGTTCGCAGTGCCACGCAGCGCGCACCACGGGGATGCGGACTGCCTCCCACCCTTCAGCGCGGGGCGCAGGCTGGAGAGCTGCAGCCGTCCGCGCGTCTCCTCCCCCCCGTCGCTCCGAAGCACCAGGCGGGACCCTGGGCTCGCACAACTCGCGGTCGGGAACTCTGGCTCAGCGTGTCGCGCGGCCGGTTCTGGCCCACAGTGCTTCGACGCGAAACGCTAACCAAGTCTCAGTCCCCGAGAGTCAACGCCTCGAGCCTTGCGAAGCCTCCCGCGGAGCGGAGCGACACGCTATCAGGTCGCAGGGCTTAGCGTGTCGCTGGAGCCGCTGCCACGACACGCTACGCAAACGTTCTCGACCGTAGCTGGTCCAAGTCGGGGTTGCAAGCCACCAAGCTCTCACGGCGATTCATGGCCCAGTTACAGAGGCCATCAGCTTCGTCGTTCGATTCCCTCGACCTCCACTGAGAGGAGCCCTGCTCTTCGCTGATGGGACTCTACTCCTGGACGCCTGAGATATGTGTACCAAGAGGTCCGAGCAGGAGGGAGGTCCTGCAGCATTCGCTGAGAGAGCTTCCCGTGCCCACAGAGACTGTCAGCCAAGGCGTGGCTGCCCACTACCGCTCGAAATCACCTTTCAGGGGGCTACCGTTGTGTCTGCTCATCTTTGTGGGTGCAAAGGGAACTCGAAGTGGCGTGGTATGTCCTCACCCTGGTGAAACCTATGCTTGCACTCGGAGGGCGCAGCCCCCCCAAAATTGGGTAGCTGCCGATGTCATGCCTCGCTGCGTGGCTGGAGCTTCGGCACACACACACACACAATCATCACCCACTGCAATGCTGGAATGCCTGCCCGCATTGCCGCCCCACGGCGTGCGTGAGTGATATTCCTGGTCCCCCTGATCCAGGCCGGCGTTCCGTCGACGCCTCGTGGTGAAGGCTGAGCGTCTGCGCCCGGTGTCGCCACGCCCCCGTCCAGGAGGTCCCAAAAGCCTGGCAGAGCAGATCCACCCGAGAAAGGCCTCGGCTGTCCCATACCTCCCGCTTCCCCCGAGGTAACCGCCTCCCGCCACGGACGTGGCTGGTCCAAAACATCGTATGCGCTCTGCGGTGCCATCCTGCGCTGTCGGGGCCGCCCCTCCCCCCTGCTCGCGCACCCGATGCGCTCTCGAGGAGGTCGGCAGGGTCCGGCGGGACAAGCAGCAGCGTTCTGCGGGAGGGCGACGGCACGCGGAGAGGGTAGCTCCAGCCTCCCCAAGATGTAGGCCAACAGAGGCTGCATCGACGTATACCTCCAAGCGTGGGCTGCACGAAGGACACTCTGATGGATGTGAGCGACTTTGAACGTCGAGACCAGGGAAGCGATGTGTGCTGGAGGTCCTCGTGTAGTGGGCGAAGTCCTTCCCCCCGCATGGCGCCAACGAAGATAGAGTATCTTACGTAAGATACTGGTTCCCCGTGCATTAAGCTAATTCAGCTAGCCTCCCGACAGCTTCCGCGTGCAAGAAACGTGGATGGCGCTGGTCACGGGTCACCGCGAATGGGCCACGATGGAGATGATGATGTTGCTGATGATGATGGTGATTAGAAGGATGATGATGACGATGGTGATGGTGATGATGATGATGATGATGGTGATGGTAATGGTGACGGTGATGATGAAAATGGTGGTGGTGGTGATGAGAGTGGTGATGGTGGGGGTGGTGCTGATGTCGGTGATGGTGACGGTGACGCTGACGGTGATGATGATGCTGATGGTGGTGGTGAAGGTGATGGTGATGATGATCATGATGAGGAGGACGAGGATGAGGATGATGATGTGGATGATGATGATAATGCTGGTGATGATGATAATGATGCTGATGATGAAGATGATAATGATGGTGGTGATCATGAGCAAGATGAGGAGCCGGGATGATGATGATGCTGATGTCCATGCTGGTGATGTTGATGCTGATTACGAAGGTGACGACGATAATGAAAATGATGGTGATGATGGTGACTCGAATCGTGATGATGATGATGGTGGTGGTGATGCTGATGGTTGTAATGGTGTGGTCATGGTGATGGTGATGGTGATAATGATGATGATGATGATGCTCATCATGATGATGCTGATGATGCTGATTCTGAGGATGATGATGATGATGCTGGTGGTGGTTATGATGACGATCTTGATGATGATGCTGATGAGTATAAGGATGAGGAGAATACAGGTGATGGTGATGATTATGATGCTGATGTTGAGTGCGAGAATGATGAGGATAAGGCAGATGATGATATTAATGATGATGATGGTGATGCGGATGATGATGATGAGGAGGATGAGGAAGATGATCATGGTGGTGATGATGCTGAGGATGATGATGGTAATCATGATGATGATGATAATGATGATGATGATGATGATGATACTGCTGATGCTGATGACGATGATGATGATGATGACGATGATGATGATGATGATGATCCACGCATCCAAGAAGGTCTGGAGCTCCCCGCTCGATACAGCCTCCCGAAGCCATGGCCTTTCCCTCTGGCGCTGCGGACGCAAGGCCTGGCCCGTGCCGAGGCACACTCGCAGACTCGCCTGAAAACTAGAGGCCACGCCATCCGCCTCGGCCGAGGCAAGCGGAAGGCAGGGCACCGAGCAATCACGGCAACTCAGCTTGCTGGCTGGCGGCACAGAGCAGAGCAAGCTGGGGCGCAAGAAGCGCAGACGCTGCCCAAGAGGGGCGGGAGGGAGTGAACCCTGGCGTGTGCCGAGCCCCACGGGGCACAGCCTACGCCACGGGGTCCCTCCCCCCCCAGAGACAGCAGCTCGGCGCAGGCATTCGTGATCCTTGGACCCGCCTGCGACACGAGCAGATCCCGTGAAGGCACCAAGGCACCCCAGCGGGCGGGCATCTGAGCGTCGAAGGCCTGGGGCGCCCCGAGTGGGACCCCGAGGAGGAAGCTGGCCGCTGCGAGGGCCAACCGCGAGGCGGCCGCCGCCTCCAGAAGCTCGCCTGCAGACAAGAAGCCTGTGTCGATGCCATCGCCGCTGTAGGGAACGGATCGGCCGCCGACGTCGCCGAACCCGTCGCCGTTAGTTCCTGCAGGGGCAGTGATGTCGCCCACAGCAGCTGGGCCAGCGCCTCGGGGGACTCTGAGCCTCCCCCCCGCTGCGCAGTGCTGCTGTATGATCGCCTGCAGGTCGTCCAACTCGATCTCATCCGCGTGGACTCCAGGCGCCGCGGCGCCCTCGGGATCGTTGTGCTCGCCCGCGGCCGCTGGCGCATCCGAGCTCATCGCGATGTACGCCTGCAGCTGCTCCCTGAGCGTGGCGAGCTGGTCCCGCAGCGCATGCTCCGCAGCAGCCCAGCCTTCACGTAGGGAGCGGATGTCCTGGGCCTGCTTCGCGACCAGGGCCCTGAACTGGGTACGGTCCGACGCGGGATGGTGCAACTCCCCCCTCAGCATGTCCAGCTGTAAGTCGGAGCCGAAGCCGCGGCCCAGGTCCACGTCGGCGTTCGCGTCCCTGTGCTGCCTTGCGCCCTCCAGCTGCTGCAGGAGCGCCGCGTCCCGCAGATCCGATTCCAGCGCCTCCGCGAGCCGACAGGGGCTGCTCTCGAAGGTCCAGGCGACCCCAGTTGAGGCCTGGCTCAACCGCAGCCTGTCGGGCAGGGATAGCATGCCAACGATCCGTACCTGGAGCACCTCGGGCAGCGGGGCCAACAGGGCAGCGGCAGGCTTGAGCGCGGGCCGCTGTGCCGCCTCGAGCCGCTGGCGCGAGACCCGCCGCAGGCGATCGAGGTGATCCTCGCCCCCCAGGAGCTCCGTCTGGACGCTGCCGTCCACTGCCACGGCGACGACCTGGTTCGCGAAGCTCACGATGGGGGGGCGCCGCCATCCATCAGTGGCGGCAGCGCCGCCCAGCACTGGGCAGTCCATGGCACCGGGAGCCTGGCAGTGCTCGTCGGGTGCCTCGCCGTAGTCGCCGAAGGGCAGCGCGGCCGCCTCCGGGAGCGAGGGCAGCCAGCCCAGGCGGGGGCCTGCGGCGGCCCGCGAAAGGCCCGCTGCGGACGCGCGCGCGAATCCGCCCGCAGGGACCAGCAGCGCGTGCCACGCGGCGTTCCGCCGCCGCCGCATTGCGCCTGGGACGCGGCATCCCGCGGCGGCTCGGCGCAAGGCGGGGCGCGCAGCAGCCTCCCGGTCCTGCCAGGAACCAGGGCCGCCGCTGGCCGCCTTGCCGACTGCCGCCGTGGCGGCGAGGAGGCGCCGCGCCCGCGCCCGACGGCGGGCCGCCGAGGCGCCTACCTCGGCCTCCTCCCTCCTGCGCAGCGCACTGCCACGCCTGGTGGGCCGCCCCGCCATCGCGCCTGCGGGCAGCCCCCCGTCGCCATTGCTCATCTCCCAGTCGCGCGCCGCTGACCGCTGCGCGTGGGCGCCTGCGAAAGTCCGGAGAAACAGCTTGAGCCAAAATGGCTACGGATGATGATGATGATGATGATGATGATGATGATGATGATGATGATGCTGATGATGATGATGATGATGATGATGATGATGATGATGATGATGATGATGATGATGATGATGATGATGAGTCGAGGATGTATTTTCTCTCAGTGAAAACGACAATTCAGAACACCAAGCACACTACCGGCTATGTAGCACGGTTGTCTGGCAAACTTGGCCGACATTGTCAGTATGATGATGATGGTGGTGATGATGACGATTATGATAATGATGACGGTGAGTATTATGATGCTGATGATGGCAAGTATGACGATGATGCTGATATTATTACTGTGATGGTGATGGAGGTGATGATGATAATGATGGTGATGATGCTGATGCTGATGCTAATGATGATGTCATGATGCGGAGGACGACGGGAAGGAAGATCCAGGAGCAGGGGGACGTGTCCTGATATTCCTTGGCGGCGGTGGTGGCGAACAGCAGCGTCCAGTCGCAGCCCCCCTCGCAGCGCCACTCGAAGGACTCCTGGTCGAACTCCTGCACGCGCGCGATGTAGTCTTCGGGGCCGTGTTGCCCGCGCAGCAGGCGCTCCGCCTGCTGCTGAACACCGTCGAAGCCGTAGCCGACCTCCAGGAGAAAGCCGGCTACACACGTACACGCTCGGCAACACGCAAGAGTGACCCGGGGCAAGAGTGACCTTTGGTGCGCGGCTTTCGGGGAGCCGCTGGGGGGGGGCGCAACATGGCGCGCAAGACGCTCCCATCGCATCGCGTCCGGCGATCGGGATGCCCCGGTGGGCCCGCACCAAAGGTCACTCCAGCGAAGGGTCTCTCTTTCTTGTAGTCGATACACGGATGATGGCCAGGGTTATCCTAGAGGCCTCCCCAGTGGGTCCATGTGTTAACCAGCGAGGACCTCGAGCAGTAAGTTATCACACTGTGGATGTGCGAGCTACGCGGTGCAAGCAGTGTGAGCGGCGTAGTGCAGTATACGTGGTACAAGCTGGAACCAGCGACGAGGCAGCACAGGACGGCAACGTGGCGAAACCTCGCCGGAACCTCGCAGCGCACGAGGCGGCCAGGGGCGGCAACGTGGACACTCATCCTCGGACGCAGCTAATTCTTCAGGGAGGGAGGGAAGAGCCCCTCGAGGCAAGTACTGCTTAGAGAGAACAGTGGCATCAACATAAACTGTCGAGGGTCCACGCGGCGCGGAGCACGCCAAGGGAGTCCAACGCCGATCCAATGCACACCCAAGGCCGCCGGCCTTCGTCGATCTTTGGGGGTCCTGAGGTGCCCTGGAGCTCATGTGGGTCCCCGGCGCCATCGAGGGATAAAAGACTTCCGCGGGGCACCTGCTGCCAGCAGGCCGATTTCATATTTCATGTGTGCTGTGAACACAGATCCTGGCCAAGACTACCCTGGAGGCCTCCCGAATGGGGGTGCACACAACAACTGCATAAGCATCAACTTTCGAAGATCCGCGCGGACTTCTTGGATCGGCACTGGACTCAAGGAGGGCGCGCAGATCGCGCTAGGGGCGGCGCCGGAGGCGCCGTCAAGGGTCCAGCGCCGAACAAGAATCATCGCGGATACTCGAATGTGAGCGTTTGCGTAGTTCTTTGTCCTGATTCGCAGGGCGGGCGGATGGCAGCGGTGGATCGCACCGCGTCGCCGATGCAGCAACGGTCTCTGGAGAAGAGAATCGTGCTCCAGATCCTTCCCGGAACGCCGGCGCATCGACGATGCGGCCCGATCTTCCGACCCCGACTGCTCTGGCCCCAAGTTGGGCCCCCGCTCGGCCAGGGTCCCTGTGCACGCCCTCCCGGCTTGGCCAGGAGAACGATGCCCCCGCCCCCCCTGGGCCCACAGGACTGGCCGGGCCGGGACCGGCGCGGGGAAGTTTCCCGCGTCCCCCGAGGGCCTTGGACACCCTCGACAGTGGGTCGAAGAACACGACCGCGGGGTGCTGCTTCACCTTGAAGCTGCGCAGCAGGGCGCCGTACGCGCTGCCCGGGCTCAGCTGAGCCACCTTCACCCGGCCGTGCAGCCGCGCGGCGGTCGTGAAGATGCTCCAGTGGCGCTGCTGCGCGTTCTCGACGAGGAAGATGATGCGCAGGTGGCCCGAGCCGCCGGGCTGGAGCTCGGCGAAGCGCTCCAACGCAGGGTCGCTGTCCACGAGCTGCACGTGCTCCCAGTAGTCGACCATGCTCAGCGTCTCCTCCTGGAGGACCGCATCCTCGCCGGCCAGCTGCGCGAAGGCCTCCTGCACCTGGGCGAAGCGCTTCCGGGCCTCTGGCCCCTGCTTCTCCGATGGCCTGTAGGTGTTGGTGAGGTTGACGTACTTCAGCTGCGCCTCCAGGACCGTCGCCTCTGGGTCGAGGCCCAGGACCTCCTCGGGGAAACCAAACGGTAATTACCGATACCGCTGCTGCCCGGACCTCTCCCGGGGTGCGTTCTGACCGGGATTTCGAAGCGAACCCAGCGGTGGCGACGCGAGGGCATCTCAGGAGGCCCCCAAAACGGAAAATGGCCGAGGCGCAGCGGCACGGGTACCTCTCCCTCCTCCGACTCCTGGTGCGAGGGGCCGTGCTGCGCCCGCGCCAGGGGCAGCGGCAGGACCAGCAGCGCCAGCAGGCGGCCTCCTGCCACCGCCAGCTGCATCGCGCCCCGAGGCCCTGGGTGCCCTCGCGGCCCGGCCCGGCGCATTGCCTCCGGCCTGGGCCCAAACAGCCTGCGGGGGCCTGCGGCAGCCGAGGCTCGCCGGGCCACGCCGCGGGCCGGCCGCGGCCTCAAGAGGGGGGGGAAGGTCATTCGGGCGGGTGGTGATGAGTGGTGGGCCTTTTTTTCCACCACCACCACCAGAAGTCGGAGGGGGAGGGGGTCCTCCTCCTCCTCCTCCTCCTCCTCCTCCTCCTCCTCCTCCTCCTCCTCCTCTTCGTCGTCGTCCTCCTCCTCCTCCTCCAACTTATGCTGGTGGTGCTGGTAGAAAGCAGGCCCATCAATGGGTGGTGACCCACATGGGGGGTGACCCACATGGGGGGTAAAGAAAAGGGCCCCAAAGGGGCCCCTTAGGGCCCTTTTTGGAACCAGCTGGTGCCCAAAAGGGGTCCTGAAGAGCCCCGTGAGGGCCCTTTTCTTCACCCCCCCCTTTGGGTCGCCCCCCACTGCCACCCGCCGCCCGAGTCATGCCGCGCGGGGTTCGCCTGCCGGTGAGGCGCCTGCCTCTGATCATTCGTTATTTTTATGTCCCGCTCTCTGCGCCGATGGCGGCGGCGGCGGCGGCGGCGCGGGGCGGCCGGGTGCTGCTCTGGCTGCTCCTCCTCGCGCCTGCCCCTGCTGGCCCCCCTCGCCTCTCCTGCCACTGCTGCTGGTGCTTCTTCTCCCTCTCGCTCCCGCGGGCTGCGCCTCCGCCCGTGCGGCTCCGGGTGTCTGGAACCCTCGGCATCAAGGAAAGGGGTCCCGAGGGAGACGGGTCCGCGGCTTTGTCCCTGGTGTCGGGCCCTCGGGGCCCTCCACGAGCCCCGGGGCTGTCAAGAAACCACTCGGGATCACCGGCTCGTCCTGGGGCATGGCCCCAGGGTCTAAGACCCGTTTCCCTCACGGCCCGGCCCTTGCATGCTAAAAACTCAGACCGTGGGCAAGGTATCCCCCGAGACCCGCATTCGATCAGCCTCCTCCAACCTCGCCCCCTCTCCCACCCCCAGAGCGAGGAGCGGGATCGGAGGAGGAGGGGGTGAGAGGCGGAGTAGTAGGGGGGAAAGAGAAGGATGAGGATAAGCTGGGTGCGCTCGCGCCGTATCTGACATCCTATTCCTCCCTTCCTCCCATCCCTTCCCATTGCGCCGATTCGTCTTTATCCGCGGGCGCGTCTCGTGGCCTACCTAGAACTCCACAGAAGATCCCATCGTGCTATGCACAGTCGGAAACATGTAAACTTACGGGACATGTGCGACCTGCGGGACCTCTGTGGCCTCCGGGGCCTGCGACACCTGTGGGACCTGTGGGGCTTGTAGGACTTGAAGAACCGTAAGACCTGTGAGACCTGCGCGACCTGTTGGACCCGTGGCACCGGCGGGACCTACGGGACCTCTGAGACCAGCGGGACCTGTCAGACTTATTGGACCTGTGGGGCATGCGAGACCTGCGGCACGTGTGGTACTCGAGGGACCTGTGGGACCTGTCAAACCAGTGGGACCTGTGGGGCGACCTGCGAAACTTGCGGGTCCTGTAGAACCTGTGGGACCTGTGGTGCCTGAGAGACCTGTAGGATCCAGAAATGTGGCCCACGCTGAAGCGGGAGCGCCAGTCTGACCAACTGGAGCACAGCGCCGATCCGAAACTTAGGCCCACGATGCAGCGATAGCATCATTCTTGAAAAACTATTTGCAATCGCATGGACAAAACACGACAACATGAAAAGCACATTCGCGCAGTCCTTTGTGTAATGAAAAGAGGGCGCAGCGGGATCGAATTCAGAAGGCACGAAAGAAAGGCTCGCTCGCGCAGAACATGCGTGAGCAACAATGCCCGGACGGGAGGGCGGACACTCTCTGGACATATTCGGGGGAGAGAGGAGAGTGGTATTCATTTTGTGGGACGGTTCGGGGGAAGGACAAGAAGTTGAGGAAGAGAAAGAGGACGCGGAGGAGGAAGAGCAGGAAGAGGACACGGAGTCTGCTGACACCAGCTGACCGGGGGTGAGAAAGCGTGTGATCCATTTGGCTGTCCCCCTCACCCTGTCCCCCTCTCCTGGGGTCAAGCATCCTGTTAAGATTTTGCCTGGAGATATTGACGTGCGGATGTGTGGATTGGTCTTCGAGATCGGTCTTCAAGAGCCTCCATGATCCTTCTAGACGGGCTCTTTGGAGATGTGGGAAGAGCACAATTCCTCTGAAACACTAGGGTGTCATGGTACATTGGTCCCTCTCGGGGTTCTGGCAAATCTTCGAAACTGTGCGTTTCGTCTGCGACATCCTCAGAAAAGTGAGAATAAGGATGATTCACGGTGCTATCCATGAGATGAAGATTGGAGCTCCGATGCGAACTTTGGAAGGGGATCATCAAGTTCGGCCTCCCCGCCTGCTGTGTCAGTTGACCCACATTCAGCCCCGTGGATCAAAACATACACAAGGTTAAGGGGGGGAGTGCTTTACTATCGCGGAGGGGTGCGGTTAGCGCGTCAGAGGGGGGAGGGCCGGAGGAGCGCACGTGGCCCAAAGCGAAGAGGGCAGGCGGCCAAGAGCCAGAACGAGAAGGGGGCAAAGGGATCCTCGACCCTGGACGAAGCAGCGGGGCGAGGCCTGGGCGCCGCCGCTCGGGTGGGCGAGGCGGGCACCCCCTGCTCTCAGGATCTGCCCTCCCGCGGGGCCTCCCTGGCGGAGGAGGGGGGGGGGGGCTTGATGATGAGGAGGAGGAGGAGGAGGAGGAGGAGGAGGAGGACGAGGAGGAGGAGGAGGAGGAGGAGGAGGAGGAGGAGGAGGAGGAGGAGGAGGGAGGAGGAGGAGAAGGGCTGGAGGAGGGGGGAGCACGACGAGCTCACCCGCGCACCTCCGGGGCCCTCGGCGCCTCCAGACCCGCCCTCCGCGGCCGCCCCGCTGCCCCGGCCGCCTCTGCGCACGCGGCCCCAGGAGGGCCCCCAGCGCGCCAGGGAGGCCCCACAGACACCCCCCGATCGAAAGGACTATCAAGCCTGCTCGGATGCTGATGTGTTTTGTGTGCCAAGCGCAGGGAGCTTTCGCACCCCAGGGGCTCTTCAGCCGAAATGGCACTGCGCAGAAGCATCGGATGAGAGGTCGCTGCTCAAGACGGCCCACGCCGCCGCGGCAGGACCCCCGAAGAGGGCCCCCCAAAGGCCACCGCTCGTTGGATGTCCAGCGGATGCTGTTTCATCTCAGCGCGTTCTCGCTTTCTTTTCCTGGCTCCTGAACGTGCAGAACGGCCCGGTAGGACCCCCAGACTGGCCCAAGACGGCCCCAAGGGGGCCCAGAGACGGCCCAAGAGGGCCCGGCGACTGCCCAAGAGGCCTCCCAGACGGCCTGAGAACCCCCCGAGACTGCCAAGAGGGCCCTCGGCCCCAGCTCCCGCCCCACAAGATGGACCCCAAGACCCCCGACACGCGCCCAGGAGACCCCCAAGAAGGTAAGGCCTTCACAGTAAATAGTATGATTGGGGAGACATCACGATTGGGGAGCACGGGGCATGCCTATACGACCAGCCTTCGGGTGATAAGGAGGTTGGTGGGGGGAGAACCAACTGACGAGAACTGCGATGGCGGTGAAGATGACGATGCTGGTGATGCGCCCTCGAGTTGGCGACGACGCGAGGTGACGATGATGCGTCGCGATATGGTCCCTCTATCGATCCCACTCGATCGACCTCACCACCGAGACACCACTGGGGCACCAGTAGGCAAAATAAATGCAACCTCGGGACGCTCGCGGCCACAAGTGTAATCGTCTGGCCGGATGTGTGTGTGTGTGTCTATCGGACACCATCAGGACACCAACCGGGACACCACTCGGGACACCGACGGGACATCAGTCGTTCAATATCACAGTCGATCCCGTGGCCGGTGATGCTGACAGTGAAAGCCGCTTGGCGTATCGGGTTCTCTGCGATCCCCCCCAAGTCTCACGATGGACACCACCAGGACACCATCATGACACCATCAAAACAACACCAGGACAACATCAGGACACACATCGGGACACCAATCGGGACACCATCGGAACACCACTCGGGGCACCTATCGGGACACCACCAGGACACCACCGAGACATCATCGAAGCACCACCAGGTCACCATCAGGACACCAATCGGGACACCAATCGGATCACCAATCGAGGCGCCAATCAGGGCACCATCAGGTCACCATCGATCTCGCTATTGATCTCATTATCGATCTCATTATCGATCTCGCTGTCGGTCTCACTCGATCGATCCCACCATCGCGTTCACTCGATCGATCTCACTTTTGATCTCACTCTAGGTCTCACCAGTGCTCCCGCTATCCATCTCACTATTGATATCACTATTGATTTCGATATCGATCTCACTATTGGTCTCACGATCGGTCTCGGACACCTCGGGACCCCGAATGGGACACCGATGGGACAATCGCGGGACACCGACGGGACACCGACGGGACACCACGAGACACCATCGGCACACCATCGGGGCACCAATCGATCTCACTTTCGATCTCCCTATCGATCTCACTTGCTCGATCTCACTCGATCGATCTCTCTATCGATCTCACTATCGCTCTCACTATCGATCTCACTATCGATTTCACTATCCATCGTACGATCGGTCCGATCTTACTATCGATCCCCCCACGGGACACCACAGGACACCGAGGGGACACCGACAGAACTCCCGCAGGATACCGACGGGACACAGAGGGGACACAAGCGGGACACCATCGGGGCACCAATCGATGTCACTTTCCTTCTCACTATCGATGTCACCATCGGTCTTACATTCGATCCAACTCGCTCGTTCTCATCATTGATCTCACGATCGGCCTCAGTATCGATCTCACCAAGGGTCACCCACGGGACACCGACGGGACACCGACGCCACACCATCGGCACACCGACGGTTCAACGATGGGACTGCCGCGGGACACCAACGGGACACCGACAGGGCACCGACGGGACAGCGACGGGACAGCGACGGGACAGCCACGGAGCACCAACTAGACACCGACGCTGACACCGACGGGACA